CTGAGGATAGCTCAGGGTGTCGCCCCCACAGCTGAGGCGGTCGCGGTGCTCTCGGCCGCTCTGCACGCGTCCGTTGACTCGCTCTGTAACGGTAAGCTGATTAGACTTCAGCCGTTGTGATTGTGATCTCGTTTGTTCCTATGAATTTTGTACAAATAATGACATGTTTTTTCATAAAGGTAGATAAATATTTTTTTAATGAAGGTAAAGGAGACTCGCTCTGTAACGGTAAGCTGATTAGACTTCGGCCGTTGTGATTGTCATCTCGTTTGGTTCTATGAATTTTGTACAAATAATGACATTTGTTTAAATAAAAGTAAAGGAGACTTGCTCTGTAACGGTAAGCTGATTAGACTCCATCTGCTGTGATTGTCATCTCGTTTGGTGCTATGATATTGATACAAATAATGACATTTGTTTTAGCAAAGGTAGATAAATATTTGTTTAATAAAGGTAAAGAGACCCGCTCTGTAACGGTAAACTTATTAGACTTCATCGTTGTGCTTGTGATCTCGTTTTTTCCCGTGACTTTCGCATAAATGAAGACATTTGTTTTAATAAAGGTAAATAAACATTTGTTTTAATAAAGGTAAAGGAGACTCGCTCTGTACGTAGCGGTAAATTGATTAGACTTCATCCGTGGTGCTTGTGATCACGTTTGGTCCCATAACTTTCGTACAAAACAAGACATTTGTTTTAATAAAGGCTTAAAATAAGCACGCACTAATTAAGTATGGCTTCTCACATACGTTAAACGCGAGTGATGAGCGAAATAATATAATTACTGATTCATTAGACTACCGTCAATGCCAATAACGTCGCCACAACAATAGGTGCATCATGGTAAAATCTAGTGAATAGCTTTGTTCTAGGTGCACAAGAGCAATATCTAGTAAATAGCTAAGTTCTATGCTTACTAGGGCAATATCTAGTAGTTAACCATGTTCTAGGTGCTCCCGGGCAATACCAAGTAGCCAGCCATGTTCTAGGTGCGCCTAAGCAACATCTAGTAACGAACCATATTTTAGGTGTACTCGGGCTATAACCAGTAACGAGCCATGTTCTAGCTGTACCAGGTGATTAGTTAGTAATTCTTCATTCCCTAGGTGCACTCGAACAAAATCTGATACCTAACCATGTCTTAACAGTAACTGGTCAATTGTGGTCATCACCGCATGCACTTGGCGCTACGAGTTCATATTTATACACTCACCATCACCCTGATTTACACAAATTAATATTCGCCCCTCTTTTGGCTTCGCCTGACTAATATTCAGAGGTGGGCAGTAGCGCGCTACATTTTCAGTAGCGGTAGCGGCGCTACAATCTAGTGAGCGTAGCGATAGCGCCCGCTACATTTAGAGCATGTAGCTGTAGCGGTATCCAGTGAAGTAGTGGTGCCCAGCTGCTAATATTCATATCTAATCCATCAGCTTTACTGGCCTTTCTGTTGATGAAATAAATGAAAGATTTGGTTTATAATTTTGTACGAATTTATGTCAAATCCTAAAAAACATATTACGCATTTACGTATAATTTATCACATTTCTCCTCATGTTCTCCCCTGCAGGTGGCGCAGGCGTACGGTGCTGAACGAGTTCCTCCGCAACACAGAGGTGTCGAGGGTGGACAAGCCCCGCGAGTTCTTCCAGTTCACTGAAAACTTTCACGGCAATGCTCCTCTTGAGGTGATGATTTTATGCAGAGACAATAAAGTCTTAGGCTTTAACTAATTGTTTAATTGTTGATACTGACGTAGATGGAAGTTCACTCATGCTAATTTATTCATGTATGCCCATGCTGAGTTCCAAGTTGTGATATTTCGAGCAAACGCTGACTGTAATTCCGGGTAGATCTATCCTAAATAGTCTGCGTTGAGGTTTAAGTACAATTTACATGAAAATAAATATGTGCTATGTTCGAATATGTACTATTAATTTAAGTGATGAGTGTAATGAATATCTTTCAGGTCTTGAACGTACAAAGAACTCCAGTAAGCTCCTCCCTCGCCCTTCCAGTTCTCAACTCTGCGGCCAGCGAAAATTCTCAGCTCAATTACGTCCAGGTAATGAACCATGTATAAATAATAGTTTGAAGGTTGGTGTATCATTGAATATTCAATGTAGCATCTAATTAATATGAAGTGACTATTTGATATGAGAGGCTTTCAAAGATTCTTCACGGCTGGAATAAAAGTTTTCCATTGTAACGCGTAATGCATTACCTAATACTTGTGAGAGATACTCTATTACTTAACAGGCCCAAACTTTGTATTCAGATAAATGCCTATTGTCGCTCTGAATATATTTTTACCGTTTAACCAAATTATATCTGATGGAAAAGCCTAAATTTGCAAAATATCACAACTGTTCCATTCCACTGCAGTGTTGAAACCCGCTTGAAACCGTCGAGTAAGATTATCGAAATCAGTAGTGACATTCAATGTAAAATAACTTCACAATATTAATGAAATAGCTTCAACTTGCGGGACTTTCACCACACAGTCCTACTACTTTGAAAGATCCAACTGTTTCATTGTTTACGGAGCTGAAATTTTTTACAGATCGGTCGTTATTTCAACGGCGAACTGTCGATGAAGACTCCCATTGCCGAAGGTCCTGATAGGAGGCTGGTATCTTTAGACGAACTGCCCTCCTCTTGTACGGCCTCTTGTGCCGCCTCCTGCACCCATCAGGATACAGACTACATCTTCGTCGAGTCTCCTGATAAACTCTACATCGTGGCGGCACTCAACGTCCATACGACAGGCAATAAACCTCTCGAGTGCGGACCTCTGAGAGGAGACCAGGTAAGAAGTAGAATAATACGAGGAATACGAATGTGGCGATGAAAAAAGTGAAAAGTTACAGTCATATGTTACATGATTACTTGAAATCATCACCCTGCATGTAAAATATACGTATTACTGGGCTATCGAGAAGTTGAAGTATTTCTGTGGTCATTGTCGCGCGTGGATGAAGAGGAGCGAAAAGAGTCGTTGCCGTGCGTCCTATTTTTGTGGGAAATTTTTTCAAACCTTATTCATATGTTACATGAAATCAGCAGCTTGCATGTAAATTATACGCTTTATAGAGCATTCAAGAGGTTGAAGCGTTTCTGTGGTCATTGTCGCGCGTGGATGACAAGGAGCGAAAAGAGTATTTGCCATGCGTCGATTTTTGTTGGAAATTTTCAAATTATATTTATATGTTAGATGAAATCAACAGCTTGCATGTAAAATATACGCTTTCCAGGGCATTCAAGAGGTCGAGGCGTTCCTGTGGTCATTGTCGCGCGTGAACGAAGAGGCGCGAAAAGCCCGCCGAGTCCCTGGTGAGACTCCCACCCCTACCGTGCAGGCCGGGGCCGTCATCTTCGACGCGTGCGCTAACAAAGAGAAGGTCGTGCGCGACGTTACAAACCTGCTCACTGGCCGCGTCCAGCAGACTATCAGGAAGATGGTACGTGACCATGGCTGTTGACACAACAAATTGGCAGTGAAGGATATGCTAGGTTGGTCTGTCGCCGATTGTAGGTGTGGGCTGAGCGCAGAATAGGCTGGGTTGGCCTGTCGTCGATTCTTATTATGCTCTAGACCTAGAGTCTAGACTTGTCTCCTGGAGATCTGAAAGCTGGCCTTTTGACTTGATGTATCCAAAACCCGCTTCCTGATCTGGCTTACGGAAGGATTTTGATCATATTTTTTGAGGAAAGACATATCTTTTTTGGCAAAAGATTCATTAATTTCCTTCAAAGGAAGAAGATTAGGATTCATTGCTTCGATTATTTACGTATCAAATAAAAATTTTCAGTGTACAATGAGTGCCTTATAATATTTCAGAGTGGCTTAAATCACAAACAAAATAATCAGTGCCATAGAGTTTCAGAACCAGCATGCCAGGTCTTTGCTTTTTAAGTTTAGGTCTTTCTTGTAGACTCGAATAATCATTTACCAGTTGTCAGTTTGACCTGCCATCGATGTAACATTCATTACATAACTGAATCGAAACATATCCAAAATATCTATCAACCATGATTAAAACGTATCGTTTAACTATCTATGTAATTAATTCCGTGGTATTATTGAGAAAAATTATACATTTCACTTTTATAACTTACGTTTCCAAATGAGGCTAGTTTTCCACAACTTATTTTCGAAAATATGTCGCCATTATATCTTATTTTATTGTTTTATAATTCACCAATCAATAACCGAAAATATCTCTTAAAATGTTTTCCCATCTAACGCGATCGCTATTCAAACATCAATCCATTTTCTTCTACTTCTAGACGTCGCTAAGCATCTGCTCAGGGAGGCTAGCAAACAGGACCTTCACCCTGCGGTCACTGAGCCGGTTCCTCTCAAGGTTGGTGTAACACTTCTGCCATACTAATGTACACGTTCATTAATGCCATACTAATGTTCATTAATGTTCATTAATGCCATAGTAATGTACACGTTCAAACACGACCTTCTTCCTGCGGTCACTGAGCCGGTTCCTCTCAAGGTTGATGTAACACTTTTGGTCTACTTCTTTTGGCATAATTTTTACTTTTTTTGGCATACTTATTTTCAATACTTGTGAAAATTGATTTGCGATATAACACATAATGACAGTAGAGTAATATAGATAACCGTCGTACTCACTTGAGTAAAATAAAGCACATTATTCACATGTCTTGTCTGTATTCCATCCCCAAACAAGACAAAAAAGTGTACCTATCGCTGTTATTGAGAAAACATGAACAATTAAATGAACATGCACTGCTCAAAAATATATATTTTACTAAGATAAGCACGTCACATTTTAGCCTTGTACGTCATGTAATAACACAAACAATATTAGTGGTACAAATAATAATTTTTCGTTCTATAGCGCCATCAATGCATAACAAATCATTATCAATAATAATATCTGTAATAATATTAATTGTACAGAAATAATTTTTATGGTGCAAATAATATTATTTTAATGGTGCAAATAATACTTTTTCGAGCTCTATCGCCATCACTGCATGACACAGCATTATCAATAATAATATCTGTAATAATATTAATTGTGCAGAAATAATTTTTCGTGCAATAGCGCCATCAATGCATGATACAACATTATCAATAATAATATCTGTAATAATAATAATGGTGGTAAGAATAATTTTTCCTGCAATAGCGCCATCAATGCATGATACAACATTATCAATAATAATATCCGTAATAATAATAATGTTACAAATAATAATTTTTCATGCTCTATCGCCATCGAAACATGACACAACATTATCAATAATAATATCTGTAGTAACAATAATGGTACATGTAATAATATTTTGTGCTATAGCGCCATCAATGCATGATACATCATTATCGATAATATATCTGTAATAATATTGATTGTGCAAATAATAACTTTTCTGCCATTGCGCCATCAATGCATGAAACAACATTATCCTTAATAATATCTGTTATAATATTCATGGTGAAAATAACAATTTTTAGTGCTCTATCGCCATCAATGCATGAAACAAAATTATCAATATTAATATCTGTAAGAATAACAATGGTGCAAATAATAATTTTTCGTGCTCTATCGCCATCAAAAGATGATACACATTATCAATAATAATATAGGTAATAATATTAGTGGTGCAAATAATAATTTTTAGTGCTATAGCGCCATCAATGCATGACACAACATTATCATTAATAAAATTTGTAATATCATTAATGGTGCAAATAACAATTTTNAACTCTGTGTGAAAAGAAGCTGTGAAAATAGTTAGGTCGATAGGAAAAGAATTTGAGCTGGTATTTATTTATTGGGAATGATTTATCAAATAATTAAATATTTAAATTAAATAAAAACTTCTTCAAATTTAAATCCATGAAACTTCTATTTATTCCTAGATTTGATATTTAAATATATTCATATGTTATCCAACATGATATAAATCAAATATCAGCGCATTACATTTATGTAAGCAGATTTAACAAGTGAATCATCAAAAATTTCAAGACAATTAAGCAATAAATGCAATGTCTCAATATCATAAAATTCAAATCGATAGTACAACCTCCAAAACTTTTCCTATTGACCTGAAATTTTGTACACCTCATTTTTAAACAGAGAAGCAAAATTTCCTGAGGTCAAGCATTTTTGAAATTCAAAAATTTTGGTTTTCAAACCACCATTCATGAATAGGGTCAACTTACGAAATTTTATGAGAATTCATGTTTTGGGTGTGTGTTGGAGGATCAGAGTACAGAATTTCAATCTTCAGCAAAATAAATGCTTCAAGTATAATATAGTATATATTTTTCGTGATAGGTGCAGATTGATTGGCTGCATAATATCAAGCGTGGTGAGGTCTTTAGCTCTCTAGACCTTAAGCATTTTATAGATCTAAACCTATATATTAAAAATAAAAAGATAATAAATAAACTAAATTCAGCGCACATCACATTAGAATGACAAATTGACATTATGTCTGATTTAACTATGTCGGTACATGTAAATAAAGCCGAAAGATTGTGTGTTCATTTCGTTTAAAGGACTGTTATATTAATGAGCGAACATATGTAATTGAAATGCAGTGACATGGTTCTCTGGAAAGAGTTTCTACTTTAATGAAGTTTAAAATACTTCAAGCACGGAACATTATAAATCTTATTTGAATTAGAAAACCGCTTGAAATTAAATAAATTCGGCCGTGAAAGCTACGATATTGAAGAGGGAGTATTATAAATTTCTTTGTGATTGGATTCAAACTTCATTGACATTGTTAAAACTTCATTAATTTTTTGTAGAATTGTCTGAGTATCTTGGTTACACCTTGAATATAAAATTATAAAATTTCTTCTCGATTCCCTTAAATTTATCTAAATGAAGATAAAAAATATAACTCAGTACTCACTGCAGTGAGTGACAGAGAGCGCATTTTCTCGTCGACGAAAACGTGAAGTCACGGACGGACAGACGGACGG